ACTCTTACAGACTACTCTCATTCAGGAGTCACCAATTCACCATTTTGACCCATAAATTGCAATTACTGATGACGTGCAAATAACGTAGAATTGCTTCCATAGTCACAAGATTTTTCTATTCAGTTTTGATGGCCACCCTAGTTTTGTTCACTCAATATGCTCCGAAGGAACAACGAATCAAATCAGAAGGTACTGTCGACAATCCTCAATAACAGATCTAGGATAATAGGAAGTTACAATTGTTAAGTGGACATTTATACGTAATAAGGGTTAAACTGATCCTAAAAAACGATATTCTTAGTTAAATTATGATACGGTAAATGAAATGAATCGTGTTTTTACCTTTAGACCAATAAAGGAAAGGGGTGTATTCAAAGCTGTTGTGCACTCCCTTCAATCCAACACTAACTTATTAACAATTGTTTATTCATATATATGCATATATGTATGAAGGTACACAATGTTTTTTACAGGTGGATATGCATTCTACTTTATTATTTGAAATCGGGATCCGTTTACTGGCAGTTGTTCCTAATTATAACTCTTAATGTCCTAGTGCTGGCAACTTGGACCACAACAGTACAGCCTTCGAAAATTTTTGTTAGAGTGATTGTATGTATTGAGTGTTCGTAATGCGCAGAAATAAAAGGCAGTGGACGACTGTATGGATCCTCAACGGAAACATGAATTCACCATACATTTCCTTAAAACTTCCCAAAGGTAGGCACATACAACAGCTGAGTGCGGAGAGAAGATCCAGGATGTCAGTCGACCACATTGCCTCGGCGACCATGAAGTGTCCTGTTTATTTGCGATGGTTTTAACCGTGATACATGATTGGAAAGAGAAGATACAGCCTCATACACAAGTCTAACGTAAAGAACTTTTGTGATCAACCTGAAACCTTTAAATGAAGCTAGAGATACACCACAAGTTCCCCACTAAGCAACCAAAGGTCGAAGCTACAAAAGTTAAATTCAGTGTATTTTCGAGAGGGGTCATAAACATTAGGCAAAATTTCGTAGAGGGATACTGAACTCCCTGAAAGCTGTGTGACGCCTTAGAAAAGAAGAAGGGGCAAAACAAAGAATGGCTCACTTATAGAGGGGGACCTCATTACCAGAAAGACAAAATAAGGAAAACATTTGGCTAATCACTTCAAAGGACTGCTGAACCGATATCCACCTTCAGCCTGTACCGCTTACAATAATTCTAAAGTAATACTGACCTACGCATCGATAATGTCCTTTTATGGTAAATGAATATTTTATCCACCTAAAATAAACCCACTATGTACTGAAGTAACGCAGGTCGTTCTAGAAAAGAGCACCGGACTCTTCATTGATGCGACGAAACCTTAGAAATAGGATTTGCAGCTGAAACAATGTCTTTAGTACTGAAATGAAGCCGAAAAAATTGCCACTATGAGCTGAACTAAGTCTTTTTGTTCTGAAGTAATTCCAGTCAATGCTGAATCTGGGCTGAAACAACAGTGGTTAATAAACGCAGTAGCTTCTGAAAATCCCTAGAAAAAGCACAGGGTGCTACATTAGTGCCAGTCATGCTGTTGTAGTTTCTGCGCATAATCGATCCATTTCTTAATTCACTCATTATAGAATATTAGAGTTAATTCAGAATTAGTAAGATTTAATTTAGCATTATAGTAAGCTTGGGTTCGATTCAACACCGCACACGTGCGATCGAAATGACGCAATGCCTATACTGGGGATACGGAAAATAGCAACGAACAACAAGGTGGAGAGAGAGAAAGAGGAAGAAATATATAAAACAAATTGTGAAGCCGTGTGACTAGAATGATATGCTTATGAGCAGTAATTACTGCTCTGAATTCGAAGGCAATTAGTTAACAAAGCCAGTCAGGTGAAATGATGCTTGATTCCTGGGCATTAACTGCAGTTTCAACCAGTTGTTAAACCACTAATTTTCGTTCACTATCACTAAGCATTTTTGAAGTTAAGCCACCAGGTCTCATTGTTCTCACTTATTCCTAATTACCTCTGACTTTGTCAATACTCTGAAGTGTCGAAAGCTTTAAGGTTTTCATTCATTCGATCTGCAACTCAAAGCCAGATGAACTATTAGTTCAAGTGTCCTACTTATTATTTTATTTGTAAGTCAATCACCAGTAGCTATACAATGCTAACAGCTTGCATTATGCCTTTGATTGGATACTGGTAATTAGTGTGATGTGTCTAGTCCTTACTTCAGTGCAGACTGAGTGCTATCAGTCAGGTTTGCAATGTGACCACCATTCTAGGTAGCTCGCCATCACGGTGCACATTGATTGCATGATATTCAATGGTTGGAGGCAAACGGCAGGAAGCCCTGTTTGGACCTAGGTTTCGTGCCAGGTGGCACTCGTCAGCAATGCATATCTGCAACCTTGAAGGAACTCATGTCCCTTCTGAAATTCGAGCCTCTCTAACTGCAGCCACTGGGTGAGGCGGGTCCGAATCTCAGAAGGGACACGAGTTCCTTCAAGGTTAAGATACACCTTGCTAACAAGTGCCAACTAGCACGAAACCTATGTCCAAGGCTTCCTGCTGATTGCCTCCAACCATCTAATATCATCAAATCAATGTGCACTATACCTCTCTTGTGAAGTTGGAGGATGGAACAACTATAATCTGTTTGTATTTTCATGTTGGATGATTACAAATTGAAGCTTAGTTTGTATATAAAGCTTCTGAAGGACACGTTTTGTTTATCTGATTATCTTAATCCGTACCCATTTTCCTGCAAGTTCACGGACGTCTTTCATGCGCGCCTTAATGAAATTAAAATCGTATAAAGTTGAAACAAAAGCAGGATTGTAATTTATATTGACAAATTACACTGAAGCACATTGAGTGCCTACAAAACAAACTTGTATTTCCACATTAAAGAAATTCTAGTAATAGTCCATCTTTATCACATGTATAAAGGATTCTGGCATTTAATTGCGTGTTCTTACTTAGCAGCCATTTGTATCTCCACACACTTGGCATTGAGCCACATCTACTGTGTTAGCTCATGGTAGAACGAACCTTCAGGGAGAACAGATATTGCACTTACAGACTGAAAATCTAGTGCTTAGAATGACAAACGGTATGGAATAAATAGAAAGCACTTTAATATCTAGTTATACTTTCCATTACTGCAGTGAGGTCAGACTTTTTGTAGTGCAGTGCCATTAGTAATTGATCTTATTCATCTTTTTGTACTGAATAATTAGAGTATTTTTTTAAGTCTCAAGAACTACTAGAACTTATTGTTCAGCAGAGTATGGAACAGTTGTAACGGCTCTGCATATTACATAGTCGTGGTCGAGTAGCTTATAGGCGGCTTACATCAATGCTGTTACAAAACTACATTCACCTTATTTCATTTCAGTCTTCTTAACATGCACATACAGTGTACGTGTATTGTACATAAAAACACTTTGTACCATACTTTAAATAATAAGTGAGTTCTGCTTCTATACTGCTGAACGAAAAGAAAAAAAACACGTAGGGCTTTAAGTGTATACTCGGCAACGCTTTTTTCTGTCATTTATTGTAAACTGGTCAGAAAATACGGACAGCATGTGACTGATGGAATACTGAACAACTAGCCAAAGAAAAAATATATGAGTGGACACCATTTTTCTTAGTGTTGGTAAATGCAAAATGAAATAAATTCAGAGTTGCACTATTTTGTCATTTTCTAACTTATCCATTACACTGTTTGGTTTTTTCATTCATAGGTTATCTAGATAGTATAATACTCATATTATCTGTCTATATGTGTGTAAAGTCATAAGATGGATTCTGAGAAATACTATTTCTCTAAAATCGAACTTTATGATCCAAATGAAATTACAAACTATGGAATACAAAAACAATTCCAACGAAAGAAGAGGAGAAAACTGGCAAAACTCGAGAGAGAAGGAATATTTATCGGCAAAGACCCTATAAATTTGTTGAAAAAAGCTACCAAGATCTCCGAATCAGCTTCCAGTAACTCAGATATAACATCCAACGATCTGATACGCAAGAAGTGGAGGATCGCATCCCTTAAAGCTCAAGGTAAGACAAATTCACTGTAACTAGTCTGTTATTATTCGAGGTGTGAAGGTTAAAGATGACATATCACTGCTTAAAAAATCAGCTAAAAAAGTACAAAAACTCAAGAGGAAAAGTGCTATAAATTGGAAAAAACGCACAGAAGCCACTGAACAAAAGATGCGTGAGAAACAAATGAAAAGAACAGCAAATATCCAAGCAAGAAGGACGAAGAAGCTTTCGAAAAAAATTCGTAAAGCTCGTGATAGAGGCAGAATTTTTACTACATCTGAGTGATATGAAGTTGTAAATAATGAAAACTATTTTTCTATTCACGTGTTCCTATTCTAAATAAATTTATACGGTTAAGCCAAGTGGCAGCGTACCAACAGCTCAATTCAGATCGGTTTAAAACCTTCTAGCTGCCTAGAATAGATTCAGTAGCTATATCAGGTTCATAAAAGCATCCAGTACTCATATTTCGAGAATTTTAGTATTCTTAAGTAATCTACCTATCACCAGCTTTGTTTTTCGTCCTACTACGTATTTCAGCTTCTCTTAAAATATTTGCTGAGAAGTGTAGCGACTTGCACTAGTCAATACATTTTAATTACTTTTAGTGGTTCCGGAATGCGCGAAGCTTTTTTGTGTATGCTTGCGTAGGAATGGAAATGAATAATTAAGGACTTCGCGACACGTGTACTAATCAACAGGATGGTTTAGATGACCATGCTCTAACTTCGCTTGTCGATGGATGTTTAGGACCGTCGATCTTCTGACCTAATCTACTGATCTTGTCAACCACCAACCTGTCTTACAGATACGTATAGCTTGAAATCGTTTTTCTATATGATCTTACATTTATTTCTAAAGTTTGCGGATTTTTAAATTCAAATAGTGTGTGTGGTTTGTTCCTCACAATGAGAGAATAAGTTATGAAGCCACAGGAAATAATAGTGTATTAAAATTCATATGCTATTTAGTAAATATTAAGATCACAATAGAAATATACATGTAGGTGCGAAATATAAGAAAGCAAAGTTAGTTCATTGTGCCAAATAAGTGAATTTGAAATGTATCAACAGTTGGTTTTTCGGCTTCTGTTTGGTTGCGGCACTCAACACGAATTCCCAAAACTGAACTTGCACGTCCCAAATCGTAAGGTTGAAAGCTAAGCACTAGCTTTACACGAGAACGAGGCCTAAAGTTTCCGAAAGAGAGTTTTAAAAAAATTTATATATTTGTCAAACAGTTTGCAGTGTCTGAGCACATTTCAAAACAACGATGGGAAAGTATGTGGAGTAGGTGAGTAAAACTGTCGGTAAAACTAGTGATCCTATAAATAACTAGTATATATATATATATATATATATATATATATAAATGAGATTCTGTAAATTCTTATCACTTTTTATACTAGAAGGTATAAGCTGCCATGGTATATGCATCTCCATGTACATCTCCCACCAGCTTAAGATACTAGTCTGACTAATACTACTACTCACCAGACAGTCTCTTTACCGTTTCTCTTTGTCTAGAGCTTGGAGTCAGATTAACATCATTCCTTATTATTATTAAACAAAATTCAGAGTTTGAGTGTATACTGTACCTTTATAGACCATATATAGGTACAGTTATCCTCTCACCTTATCAATCCAAGATGAAAAGAAAATCCATCGGACGAGATAATCCTCGCGCCCTTGCTGGTGTAGCACATACTAGCGATTACGGAACTCATTTGCTTGAGTGAATTTCAATGAAAAGGAATTTTCCTAGTGCCCATCCGTAAGAGAACAAGCAAAGATCAGAAGTTTACTAGGTTTTACTCCATATTTGTGAGACATGCAGTTGAAGATAGAGGTTAATATAAGACTAGGAGTATCTGACCACCAGTATCTTTGGGTTATATAGAATAACATGATAATTAATTAGGCGTAATGAGAGGAAGTCAGTCTAACGCTGTCGAATACAAGGGCTAGTATGTGTTACACATACCGGACCACAGCTTTTCTCGACTAACAAAGTTAGCTGAAGTACGACTAGGTTGAGAAATCCAGAGATAACCAAATGTGAACGTTGCACTTCGAGTACTGAAATCTTAGCGATACTAAAAATCAGTGATCGGTTTAAAATCGCTCGTAATGACGCAAATGTTTTATCAAGATGACGAAAATCTTCATTAGTCGTCATCTAATTGCTCCTTCCCGTAAAATTTCGTCTTCTATAGTTTAATTACGCTTGTTTTTGTTACTTTTTAGTGCTACTCCGAAATATGGCAACCTGAACTGATACACTGTTCTGTAAAGTTCTGTATTGATAATCTAGTTAGTTAGTTAGTGTGCATAAAACATGTGGAATTTTGTTAAAATTAAATTAAGTAATACTCACGCGATACGAAACCTCGTTTCGTTTGGTTCTGTCATATAAAATGGTGGATTTGGAAGTTGCAGTTTGACGAAGACCTCTGCTGTCTTCAAGCGATTGATCAGCATAATCTAGCAATGAAGCAGAAAGGATGACAGTGACTCACACAGTGAAATATATCTGTTTAGAAAAAACAAGCCAACATAAATGCTAAACATAAAGTGTTATGTTAAATGTTAAATGAACATAAAAAAATGCTTACATTGTGGAAACGAGTTTTGGTTGTTGTAGACTTTGAATCTATGATCTCAAATTTAACCGGTAGACCGACAATATCAAGTAGACCTATAGGAACAGATTTTGCAGCACTTTCTTTCGACAACGACACATTACGATCATTGAATGTGAGATCTTTGGACAGTGAAGAGGATACTTCAAGTTTGCTATTACATGTGTTTTGTAGATGAGCGCATGGAGATCTTTTATTTAGCGTAGGTTGTTTACAGCACTAAAAGAGAAGATAAATGAGAATTAAGTTAAGTATTACACGCAGTGAAAACTTGTCAAACCAATAATTGATTAATTCAGTTTTGTCGAAAACTAGAAGGGCTGATTAAGTAGACGCCCTAACAACAGACACAAATTATAAAAGGGCAAATGGGTATTTCACCGATAAAAAAACAAGTGCCGATATGCCCAGATCAAGCAGTTTAAAAATAGAAATAAAGTTTCAGTGTCTCTAAGTATGGTATGTGCTTTGCACCGTCTAAGTGCAAAGTACTGTTACAAGATTGGCAGGAGTCTGTACCTGCACTCACTCTTGCGGGTGAACCGCTTGAAGTTGTTGATAAGTTTGTGTATCTGGGTAGTTGTGTGAGTGCTGGCGGAGGGGTGACGGATGAGATTTCCAACCGTATAATGAAGGCTAGGGTGGCATACATCAACTTGTGCCACCTCTGGCGCCGTCGCGACGTTAGCCTGGCTGTCAAAGGTCGGGTATACAATGCTTCAGTGCGGGCTGTCTTGCTCTACGCCTGTGAAACCTGGCCTCTCCGAGCTGAGGATGTGCGGCGACTCTGCGTGTTCGATCATCGCTGTCTCCGCAGGATTGCTTGCGTTCGATGGCATCATCGCGTGAGTAATTCTGAGGTTCGGCAGCGTGTGTTTGAACACAGTGGAGATCACCATTCATTGAGTGTCGTCATCTGGAAACACCAGCTCCGGTGGCTTGGACATGTGCTGCGAATGTCATCACGGAGGCTTCCGTACAGGTCTCTGTTCGCTAGCCCTGGGACGGGATGGAAGAGCCGGATGGGTGGTCAGTCCATGACGTGGCGTCGTGGGATGAAGGATATTTGTGCTAGATTAGCATCGGTTGGTGCTTCACGACTCCCTGGTTGGGGTCCGCGAGATAGCTCAAATCGATGGCTCGAAACGTTATCGGATATGGCCAAGAATCGTTATCAATGGCGAACGTGTTGCAACTTCCTTCTTTCTTCCCTTCCTGATGATAATTAACGAATACTGTTTGAACTTGTTAAACATGACTGTTTTCCTTCCAGATGAAGTTCTTTATCCGTTTTCTACTCATATTTTTATTTTTAATCTATGTTGTTTTATTATTATTATTATTGTGTGGGGCATCTTTCTTGATGCCATACTGTACCAGGTTTTTTTTTTGTGCGTTTAAATAAATAATAAATAAATAAATTCAATGCCAACACATTAGAAACATCTGGATTCTTTTATTCTAAACGTGTTTTCATTCCAAATATGTAAGTGACATCGTATACTGGATATTTTAAAGCTTTACCTAGAGTCACATTCAATCTTTAACTTTATTGTACAGTCAACACAGTAAATGTAAACACACGTTGAAATAATTAACATTATCAAAGCATCACCACCACTCAATTTTTTAATCTCGAAATCTGTCTCCACTTAAACATCTCAAATCAGGATAAACTTCCGAAAACAAAAGAGGACAAACTTGCACACAAACCTATACTTACCGAACCTTCTAAAGTGACTAAAAGTGTAACCGAGTCTTTTGGGTTACATCGTACTTCATGACGAAGTTTATTCTGTGAGTATGATGGTTCTATCCAAAAATTAAGGTGCCAATCTTGAAACATTGTATTTTCATGTGATGAAACAGGTGTAAAACGAAAGGGTATAAGCAATTGACCATGTCCAGCTTTCTTAGGATCAGATGACAGGATAGCAAATTTATCGGTCGACTGACCATTATGCTTGAGTGAATCAGTTTTTGTATGCATCAACTGAAATACATCCCGTCCCAAAGTCAGCCTTTTGCTTACTGAACATGAAGAATGCACAGTAGGCCGTTTAACTTGTACATCTGTCACAGGATTGGCTGACCAAAACACTTTCCATAATGAAGAAGAATCACTACTGGATGGAATCGGAAAGTTGCTTGTTTGTTCTACTAAACTTACTGAAAAAGAAGCTGGAAGAAAGACAAGAAATGAGATGTTATTATAACTGTTATATGGAAATAAATGATGATTAGATTAGCGCTAAATACTCATCATCAATCTTTGAAATTTCCAGTATTGAATCTAGCCTTGATTTACTCATTCACTTCTACATCTCTTCGCGGTTGACACTCATTACGCTGTATTCCTGCTTCCTCTTGCTGAGAGGAGTGCCAACTAAAAACAATACACGGCTCTACGACTACTTACTTCCCGTCAAGGTGACAAACAGAACCATTGGTGGGCATTCACCAGTTTAATGGTACCGCCGAAAGCTGTCTATTTTTCTTAGGGTTAACTAACTATTTCAATGTCTGTTAGCTCTCAGCCTGACTGCACTAAGATAAACAGCTTTCTATCAGAAATTAGCAAATGGTCTTCGTCTAACGGCCTCAAACTTAATCCTTCCAAATGTCAGACTGTTAATTTCAATTTCCGATGTAAACGAAAGTTAAATGAAGCCGTTGGTTCCTATGACCCTTGCAAAATCGATGATACTGATATAGAAAGCAAGTCTGAAGTTAAGTATCTTGGATTAATTCTCTCTTCTGACTTATCCTGGTCCTCTCATGTCTTAGCGATTTCTAAAAGAATATTTCGTTTGACTTTTTACATTAGGAAGTTAAGGCACTCAGGCAAAACTAAACCACTCCTCTTACAGTTTATCAACTCGTATATTTTACCTATTCTTCTTTACTGTTCACCCTTATTCTTTCCTGGATTGCTTAACAAAGACTATGTCATACTTCGTAGAACTCTGAAGACTGCCAGTAGGACGAGTGGTATCCCATTGTGCCATATCGTTGACACTGTCACTGATAGGCACTTGATATCATACAGCAAATTTGCTAAAGGAATTTTGTCAGACTCTGAGCACCCACTCTACCCGCAGCTCCAACTTTGTGTCTCCTCAGGTAAAACAAGAAGTCTTTTCAGAAGAATTTATGCACGTACGTCTAAGTATAAAAATTCCACTATACCATATTTAGCACGTAATTTATGTGATAAAAATAGTGTCAGACATAACTAACTAACCTTCTTTGCACCACTAAATAAACCATTTCCTCCACCCTTACAGCATCAAACTTTATTGTCATTGTATTTCTTATATTTATAATCCTCTCAATTTTTTCGTTTTGTTTATTTTTTTTCATAAGTGTGGTCATAATTTTAAGCTGTATTATGACTGTTAATTTTGTATTTCCCCTCACCATACTATATTAACAGAACATTAGACCCAATAATCTATAACATGCTAAAGTTTCCAAACTGAATCGACAACACCGTTTGAAACAAACTAACTGTTATTATTATTATATCTAATAATTATGTCGTAAATGTGGACAATTTCCTCCGATTAATTTTGTTTTAATTTTTAATTTTATATATATTTTGAGTAAATCAGATGCAATATTGTGGCAAATACTGAGAATTCCATTCTGTATTATAAGTACTGTTTTTGGAATAAAGTAATTTATTATTATTATCAATCCGAACGCTTTATGTCATCCGTATCCACGCCTGCGTGTAGTCAAGAGAGGCCTTGTATATACTGAAAAAGCCAAACATAACAAATGATCCCGAATAATTCTTTGCACAAATTCTCAACTTTGTTTCATATACAACAGTGTTCTAGCATTTATTTCGATTTTTTTCGATTACGGCTTGATTTCACACCGTATTTTTTGGTACAGGTATGGAATTTTCAGCATGTGATATCGGTAGCCCAAATTTTGCAGGCCGACCACAGATATCAGGTGTGCGTCGGCAGGGAATCGAACTTCGGACCATGTGCATGGTCGGCGAGAGTCCTAACCACTGTGCCACCGACGCACGCTTAGCTAAAAGATACACGAGTAAGTGCTTACTAAACTCTAATCGACAAGAAAATGTATTGTCCAGTGAATTCCTACCATTACGTGTGCTGCTCATTAACATTTTTACAAAAGACGGCGTTAAGCCAAGCGCCAACTTAAAGCCGACATAAATCGTTGCTTTTCTAATTAGCATCCTTCACTTAGATATCAAAAATTCTAACCAAGAATAATAAAACTGTAATCAGTGTGAAATGCTATTGATGACACATGTATGAAAGGTAGATGAATAAAGGTCATGCAAGTTTAAAACTACCAGTGTAACGACAGACGACAAGGGCCAGGCAAAAGATCGTTTATTGAGAAAATCAACAGATATTTATGGATTTTTATGTACATGATTATTGGCTTTATTGTTAGCAGAGAAGCAACTTCTTCTGACTGGTTGCTTTCCTGCTGAAGGTTATTCTGTCATCTCTTTGTTGCTGTTTCTTAGACAGTCCGGTGATATATATCTGTGAATTGTATCCGCCCACGCTAAGTCTACTGTGATTGGTTGTTAATTTCCTCAAGGTTAGGCTTTGTTCGTGTTTTTTCCCATGACCCCGATTTAAGACGTAAACATTGACGGAAATTGCTGTCTACCAATTTCGGCTAGCAGACAGCTCTCACCACACTAGGACTAGAAGGTGTCTCGTCATGATAAGACGCATTTTAAAAGCCTAATATAAGATAAATGTGAACGAAAACGACTGGCCTTAGAAAGTTAACAGTTTTCACTCAACTTTGGAGTGTTTACTTACAAAAATAATTACCCTACAAACATTTTAATTCACGTCAGTAGGTGAAATACGCCCAAATGTTTGAAAGGATGTGAATTCTTCTAAGAAAATATCGAAGAAGAGAGGCAATCAGTAGTAGGACAAACAAACCAAAGAAAATTACCTTCTGTTGAACATCCATGAACACAAGATGGAAATACCAAAGTATTGGAAGGAATCAATTTTATCTTTGGAGGTTGTAAATCTAACAACTCCCTTCGATTAGTATCCTTAATACTGGGGCTGAGATTAGTTGCTGGTGGACAGGCTTCTTGTAAACTGGATCGCTTAGATAATGATTTCGATGACAAGGATACCGTACAATCTTGAAGAGCAGAATTAAGAGAGCTTCGCTGCTTGAAAGCATCTCGTTGAACAAAAACACTAGCTAAGGAATTTTCCAACAGTGATTCGCATACTGAATGAGATGAATATACATCAGGTTGATTTACACAACTGGAAGCTTGATCTTCTTTTGATGCATAAATATACAAGTACATAGGCTCACAATGATGCACTTGATCTATCAAAGCTTGACGCCAATCTTGTGGTCGAAGATCGTTGTGTGATGCTGATGGCAGTTCAACTAAATCAAGTATAATTAAGTTAAAATCCACGTAAACTAAATCTGTATTATAAAAGTAAAACTTTTTAAAAAAAAATACTTGGAATACTGCTATAAAAAGTTTCAGGAAATGTACAGATTGTTATTGTATTAAATACTTAACACTGACTGACTTTGCACAGATGTGTAGCAGTTCGAGTTGCCACTCTGCGTGTAGAACACAAAGGTAGAGAAAAGAAGAGAAACTTGGCACAGATAAGACGAATGATACATGGTATGGACTAGAATATATCCAGCCCAACTGTATGATAAATGTTACTTATAGCCACCTTTATTCAATAAACATCTTTCCTTAGTTTCATATATTACCACCACATTACCACCAACCTCTTATGAATGTATAACAAATTACTACATATGATAGCACAAATAATGCTAAGACCAGATCACTGGTTTTTAGTTATGGTGACAAACAATTTAGCAAAAGAAATTGAAGTTATCATGGTAACTGCCATGTTCAATAAAAAAAAGTCATTTAGAAAACTGTGCACCTCAACCTGACAGTATTTACATCACTCAACAATGAAGAAGTGTTGTTTCTATCAGAAACTAATTCCCTGCTTAAAATCTGGATAGGTCTACGCAACTATGAATGGAAAACTTCCGTATTGAATCATAAACAAAAGAATACGTCATGGTGAAGAAAATCTTCTAAACGAACCAAGAGCTGTACAATCATATTTATACTTCAAAAATGCGACGAGTAATCAAATGGTAACCAGAGGTTGGTAAGTATTGACAAGGGTTACATGATATGAAAGACATCCAGAAAAATAGGATGTTACTGAAAGAGCATGGCAACAAGTGTTCAAAAATAAGATATGTAATAGGTAGAAAGAGCAAATATAAAAGGTTAGTTAAGAAAAAAATGTCACTAAAATGTTATACAAAAATTCACAAATACTATTAATAAGAAAGTAGTCGAACTTAGAATTATGCCCAAGGTAGAAGGAGGGGATGGAAAAGTTTCTTCTATAAACACATATCAGGGTTTTCCACCTGGATCGCTAAGGCCTTGGCAATGCAAAGTATACGGAAGCTTACAGTTTTCGGGAGGCTTTTTTGACTTTGAATGAATTCTGCTTACGTATTGAATGACTAGTGTTGAATAAACGTTCAATTATAGCAATCCTTATTGATTCACTGTTAACTTTTCGTAGCCAAGCGGGATAATGTTCTTTGACTCTTTTAGATAACACACGCATCGAATGACCTATACATCTCCCTCAACATGAGCAAGTAAACTGGGAGATACACATAGAAGTGGTCAAATGCGATAGTTTATCTTTAGAGTTGTTGAAGAACGACGGACGGCATGAGAATACCAATCGTAATGTAGCAGCAGAGAATGCTCTTTTCATCACGTAAGATATTCTCCTCTTTACGATATCGGTCAAAAGGTTGCCTTCGAACGCAACATTCATGTGTAGCATCTTCTTCGACATAGAGAAGGGTTGTTGATTTTCCGCTTTGTGTTTATCTTATAGATAAAGCATGATGAATGGTCATTCTCAAGCAGTGTCTTCCTCAAGACAGTGATCTCTTCCTCTACTGATTCGGGGACACAGATTCTACGGATTCTAGTCGCGAGAAATACTATCAGGTTCCGCTTGCGATTGATGGGTACCCAATTGCAAAAGTTTGTCAACTGGCCGTCCCACCTAGGCTTCCGATAAATTGGTCTGTTCAAAGTCCCATTAGTCTTCTTCGTTAGCCGGACATCCAGGAATGAGATTGTCTCTCCGGCTTCTACTTCAATTGTAAATCTGATGGCTAGGCGGTGGCTAATGCAAACTTGAAGGATATTATATTTAGGTTACATTACAAATTACACTAAAGCATATTGAGTGTCTACAAAACAAACTTGTATTTCCACATTAAAGAAATTCTAGTAATAGTCCATCTTTATCACATTTGTAAAGGATTCTGGCATTTAATTGCGTGTTCTTACTTAGCAGCGATTTGTATCTCCACACACTTGGCATTGAGCCACATCTAGTGTGCTGGCTCATGGTAGAACGAACCTTCAGGGAGAACAGATATTGCACTTACAGACTAAAAATCTAGTGCTTAGAATGATGAACGGTATGGAATAAATAGAAAGTACTTTAATATCTAGTTATACTTTCCATTACTGCAGTGAGGTCAGACTTTTTGTAGTCCAGTGCCATTAGTAATTGATCTTATTCATCTTTTTGTACTGAATAATTAGAGTATATTTTTAAGTCTTAAGAACTACTAGAACTTATTGTTCAGCAGAGTATGGGACAGTTGTAACGGCTCTGCATATTACATAGTCGTGGTCGAGTAGCTTATAGGCGGCTTATATCAATGCTGCTACAAAAGTACATTCACCTTATTTCATTTCAGTCTTCTTAACATGGACATACAATGTACGTGTATTGTACATAAAAACACTTTGTACCATACTTTAAATAATAAGTGAGTTCTGCTTCTATACTGCTGAACGAAAAGAAAAAAACACGTAGGGCTTTAAGTGTATACTCGGCTACACTTTTTTCTGTCATTTATTGTAAACTGGTCAGAAAATACGGACAGCATGTGACTGACGGAATACTGAACAACTAGCCAAAGAAAAAATATATATGAGTGGACACCATTTTTCTTAGTGTTGGTAAATGCAAAATGAAATAAATTCAGAGTTGCACTATTTTGTCATTTTCTAACTTATCCATTACACTGTTTGGTTTTTTCATTCATAGTTTATCTAGATAGTATAATACTCATATTATCTGTCTATATGTGTGTAAAGTCATAAGATGGATTCTGAGAAATACTATTTCTCTAAAATCGAACTTTATGATCCAAATGAAATTACAAACTATGGAATACAAAAACAATTCCAACGAAAGAAGAGGAGAAAACTGGCAAAACTCGAGAGAGAAGGAATATTTATCGGCAAAGACCCTATAAATTTGTTGAAAAAAGCTACCAAGATCTCCGAATCAGCTTCCAGTAACTCAGATATAACATCCAACGATCTGATACGCAAGAAGTGGAGGATCGCATCCCTTAAAGCTCAAGGTAAGACAAATTCACTGTAACTAGTCTGTTATTATTCGAGGTGTGAAGGTTAAAGATGACATATCACTGCTTAAAAAATCAGCTAAAAAAGTACAAAAACTCAAGAGGAAAAGTGCTAAAAATTGGAAAAAACGCACAGAAGCCACTGAACAAAAGATGCGTGAGAAACAAATGAAAAGAACAGCAAATATCCAAGCAAGAAGGACGAAGAAGCTTTCGAAAAAAATTCGTAAAGCTCGTGATAGAGGGAGAATTTTTACTACATCTGAGTGACATTTAGTTGTAAATAATAAAAACTATTTTTCTATTCACGTGTTCCTATTCTAAATAAATTTATACGGTTAAGCCAAGTGGCAGCGTACCAACAGCTCAATTCAGATCGGTTTAAAACCTTCTAGCTGCCTAGAATAGATTCAGTAGCTATATCAGGTTCATAAAAGCATCCAGTACTCATATTTCGAGAATTTTAATATTCTTAAATAATCTACCTATCACCAGCTTTGTTTTTCGTCCTACTACGTATTTCAGCTTCTCTTAAAATATTTGCTGAGAAGTGTAGCGACTTGCACTAGTCAATACATTTTAATTACTTTTAGTGGTTCCGGAATGCGCGAAGCTTTTTTGTGTATGCTTGTGTAGGAATGGAAATGAATAATTAAGGACTTCGCGACACGTGTACTAATCAACAGGATGGTTTAGATGACCATGCTCTAACTTCGCTTGTCGATGGATGTTTAGGACCGTCGATCTTCTGACCTAATCTACTGATCTTGTCAACCACCAACCTGTCTTACAGATACGTATAGCTTGCAATCGTTTTCCTATATGATCTTACATTTATTTCTAGAGTTTGCGGATTTTCTAATTCAAATAGTGTGTGTGGTTTGTTCCTCACAATGAGAGAATAAGTTATGAAGTCACAGGAGATAATAGTGTATTAAAATTCATATGCTATTTAGTAAATATTAAGATCACAGTAGAAATATACATGTAGGTGCGAAATATAAGAAAGCAAAGTTAGTTCATTGTGCCAAATAAGTGAATCTGAAATGTATCAATAGTTGGTTTTTCGGCTTCTGTTTGGTTGCGGCACTCAACACGAATTCCCAAAACTGAACTTGCACGTCCCAAATCGTAAGGTTGAAAGCTAAGCACTAGCTTTACACGAGAACGAGGCCTAAAGTTTCCGAAAGAGAGTTTAAAAAAAATTTTATATATTTGTCAAACAGTTTGCAGTGTCTGAGCACATTTCAAAACAAAGATGGGAAAGTATGTGCAGTAGGTGAGTAAAACTGTCGGTAAAACTAGTGATCCTATAAATAACTAGTATATATATATATATATATATATATAAATGAGATTCTGTAAATTCTTATCACTGTTTATACTAGTAGGTATAAGCTGCCATGGTATATGCATCTCCATGTACATCTCCCACCAGCTTAAGGTACTAGTCTGACTAATACTACTCACCAGACAGTCTCTTTACCGTTTCTCTTTGTCTAGAGCTTGGAGTCAGATTAACATCATTCCTTATTATTATTAAACAAAATTCAGAGTTTGAGTGTATACTGTACCTTTATAGACCATATATAGGTACAGTTATCCTCTCACCTTATCAATCCAAGATGAAAAGAAAATCCATCGGACGAGATAATCCTCGCGCCCTTGCTGGTGTAGCACATACTAGCGATTACGGAACTCATTTGCTTGAGTGAATTTCAATGAAAAGGAATTTTCCTAGTGCCCATCCGTAAGAGAACAAGCAAAGATCAGAAGTTTACTAGGTTTTACTCCATATTTGTGAGACATGCAGTTGAAGATAGAGGTTAATAAAAGACGAGGGGTATCTGACCACCAGTATCTTTGGGTTATATAGAATAACATGATAATTAATTAGGCATAATGAGAGGAAGTCAGTCAAATGCTATAGAATACAAGGGCTAGTATGTGTTACACATACCGGACCACAGCTTTTCTCGACTAACAACATTTAGCTGAAGTACGACTAGGTTGAGAAATCCAGAGATAACCAAATGAGAACGTTGCAATTCGAGTACTGAAATATTAGCGATGCTAAAAATCAGTGATCGGTTTAAAATCGCTCGTAATGACGCAAATGTTTTATCAAGATGACGAAAATCTTCATTAGTCGTCATCTAATTGCTTCTTCCCGTAAAATTTCGTCTTCTATAGTTTAATTACAATTTTTTTTTGTTACTTTTTAGTGCTACTCCGAAATATGGCAACCTGAACTGATACACTGTTCTGTAAAGTTCTGTATTGATAATCTAGTTAGTTAGTTAGTGTGCATAAAACATGTGGAATTTTGTTAAAATTAATTAAGTGATACTCACGCGATACGAAACCTCGTCTCGTTTGGTTCTGTCATATAAAATGGTGGATTTGGAAGTTGAAGTTTGACGAAGACCTCTGCTGTCTTCAAGCGATTGATCAGCATAATCTAGCAATGAAGCAGAAAGGATGACAGTGACTCACACAGTGAAATATATCTGTTTAGAAAAAACAAGCCAACATAAATGCTAAACATAAAGTGTTATGTTAAATGTTAAATGAACTTAAAAAAAAGCTCACATTGTGGAAACGAGTTTTGGTTGTTGTAGACTTTGAATCTATGATCTCGAATTTAACCGGTAGACCGACAATATCAAGTAGACCTATAGGGACAGATTTTACAGCAATTTCTTTCGACAACGACACATTACGATCATTGAATGTGAGGTCTTTGGACAGTGAAGAGGATACTTCAAGTTTGCTGTTACACGTGTTTTGTAGATGAGCGCATGGAGATCTTTTATTTAACGTAGGTTGTTTACAGCACTAAAAGAGAAGATAAATGGGAATTAAGTTAAGGATTACACGCAGTGAAAACTTGTCAAACCAACAACTGACTAATTCAGTTTTGTTGAAAACCAGGTGGGCTGATTAAGTAGACGCCCTAACAACAGACACAAATTATAAAAGGGCAAATGGGTATTTTACCGATAAAAAAAACAAGTGCCGATATGCCCAGATCAAGCAGTTTAAAAATAGAAATAAAGTTTCAGTGTCTCTAAGTATGGTATGTGCCTGGCACCGTCTAAGTGCAAAGTAGTTACAAGATTGGCAGGAGCCTGTACCTGCACTCACTCTTGCGGGTGAACCGCTTGAAGTTGTTGATAAGTTTGTGTATCTGGGTAGTTGTGTGAGTGCTGGCGGACGGGTGACGGATGAGATTTTCAACGGTATAATGAAGGCTAGGGTGGCATACATCAACTTGTGCCACCTCTGGCGCCGTCGCCACGTTAGCCTGGCTGTCAAAGGTCGGGTATACAATGCTTCGGTGCGGGCTGCGCTGCTCTACGCCTGTGAAACCTGGCCTCTCCGAGCTGAGGATGTGCGGCGACTCTGCGTGTTCGATAATCGCTGTCTCCGCAGGATTGCTTGCGTTCGATGGCATCATCGCGTCAGTAATTCTGAGGTTCGGCAGCGTGTGTTTGAACACAGTGGAGATCACCATTCATTGAGTGTCGTCATCTGGAAACACCAGCTCCGGTGGCTTGAACATGTGCTGCGAATGTCATCACGGAGGCTTCCGTACAGGTCTCTGTTCGCTAGCCCTGGGACGGGATGGAAGAGGCGGAGGGGTGGTCAGTCCATGACGTGGCGTCGTGGGATGAAGGATCTTTGTGCTAGATTAGCATCGGTTGGTGGGGTTGGGGTCCGCGAGATAGCTCGAATCGATGGCTCGAAACGTTATCGGATATGGCCAAGAATCGTAATCAATGGCGAACGTGTTGCAATTTCCTTCTTTCTTCCCTTCCTGATGATAGTTAACGAATACTTTTTGAACTTGTTAAACATGACCTTTCCTTCCAGATGAAGTTCTTTATCCGTTTTCTACTTATATTTTTACTTTTAATCTATGTTGTTTTATTATTATTATTGTGTGGGGCATCTTTCTTGGTGCCATACTGTACCAGGTATTTTTGTGCGTTTAAATAAATAATAAATAAATACATTCAATGCCAACACATTAGAAACATCTGGATTCTTTTATTCTAAACGTGTTTTCATTCCAAATATGTAAGTGACATCGTATACTGGATATTTTAAAGCTTTACCTAGAGTCACATTCAATCTTTAGCTTTATTGTACAGTCAACACAGTAAATGTAAACACACGTTGAAATAATTAACAATATCAAAGCATCACCCCCACTCAATTTTTTAATCTCGAAATCAGTCTCCACTTAAACATCTTAAATCAGGAAAAACTTCCGAAAACAAATGAGGACAAACCTGCACACAAACTCATACTTACCGATCCTTCTAAAGTGACTAAAAGTGTAACCGAGTCTTTTGGGTTATATCGTACTTCATGACGAGGTTTATTCTGTGAGTATGATGGTTCTATCCAAAAATTAAGGTGCCAATCTTGAAACATTGTATTTTCATATGATGAAACAGGTGTAAAACGAAAGCGTATAACCAATTGACCATGTCCAGCTTTGTCAGGATCAGATGACAGGATGGCAAATTTATCGGTCGACTGACAACAATTATTCTTGAGGGAATCAGTTTTTGTATGCATCAACTGAAATACATCCCGTCCCAAAGTCAACCTTTTGCTTACTGAACATGAAGAATGCACAGTAGGCCTTTTAATTTGTACATCTGTCACAGGATTGGCTGACCAAAACACTTTCCATAATGAAGGAGAATCACTACTGGATGCAATCGGAAAGTTGCTTGTTTGTTCTACTAAACTTACTGAAAAAGAAGCTGGAAGAAAGACAAGAAATGAGATGTTATTATAACTGTTATATGGAAATAAATGATGATTAGATTAGCGCTAAACACTCATCAATCTTTGAGAATTCCAGTATTGAATCTAGCCTTGATTTACTCATTCACTTCTACATCTCTTCGCGGTTGACACTCATTACGCTGTATTCCTGCTTCCTCTTGCTGAGAGGAGTGCCAACTAAAAACAATACACGACTCTACGACTACTTACTTCCCGTCAAGGTGACAAACAGAACCATTGGTGGGCATTCACCAGTTTAATGGTACCGCCGAAAGCTGTCTATTTTTCTTAGGGTTAACTAACTATTTCAATGTCTGTTAGCTCTCAGCCTGACTGCACTAAGATAAACAGCTTTCTATCAGAAATTAGCAAATGGTCTTCGTCTAACGGCCTCAAACTTAATCCTTCCAAATGTCAGACTGTTAATTTCAATTTCCGATGTAAACGAAAGTTAAATGAAGCCGTTGGTTCCTATGACCCTTGCAAAATCGATGATACTGATATAGAAAGCAAGTCTGAAGTTAAGTATCTTGGATTAATTCTCTCTTCTGACTTATCCTGGTCCTCTCATGTCTTAGCGATTTCTAAAAGAATATTTCGTTTGACTTTTTACATTAGGAAGTTAAGGCACTCAGG